TTATGCAAAACTAGAAAATTTGGAATGAAACATATTATTATAATAATAATAATTATTATTATTTTTATTATCTGAAGACACACACACAGAATATGAAGTAACCCAACAACCCAGCAGCAGGACAATAAAATTCCAACTACTCAGCAGAATGCAGCATAGATAAGAGAATGAAAGGTGAAAACAAACCCTACTTTGTTCATGAGCATTTATTACAATGCAGAAAGAAAGAAAGCAAGCAAGCAGAAAAACACATGCAGTATATTGTTATTTTTAGTAAAAGTAAACAGAGTAAAGACAAGTGATGTGGAAATTGCTTTAAAAATTAACGTAGGATTCAGATCATATCAAAGAGCATATCCTAAGACGTCTGGAGATAAAATTATGTTGTGTATGTTTAACAGACCTTTTAAATATGAAGTGTACACAGTGCAATCATTTAGCTTCACGAATGTTAACGATGTGTCTATTTTGCTAAATGACACAGAATTTTGGGGACTAGATGTAGATGATGGTACACCTCTCTTTCTATGTTCTCTTCCTTTTTGTTTCATTTTGGGTAGCTCTAGCTGATACCTGGGTTGTGTTACCTGGGTTGGTCCTTTCTTCATATACAAATTTATTAAATATTGACAAACATAAACATTTAGAACTAATATGAAACAGGCATAGCATATGCAAATCTTTACTTTTCTTTTAATGTGCAGGGACAAGACTGTTGGCCATTGGTCCAGGGTGGTATCGGCACTCTGCCACATGTGGCATTACTAGTGTGTTCAGGAAATGTGACAGTGTGCAGTATATAGACCTCATTTTGCAAACTATTGTGGTATGTTTGGTTTAATGGGGTAATGTTGGATTAGCCAAATGGATGGCCCTTATTGGAAGCACTTGGTTATGTCTGGTGAGTTGTTTCTGCATTAGCAAATGTAAGAGCTGTCAGCATCTCCTCAGTAAAGTGGAGAAACTTTATGGCAAAGGCAATTCAGTCATGCAGTGATTTTATTAATAATGGACATATTTGTATTCCTAAATCGGTAGTGAGGAGAGAGCTGCTAATGTGTGGTCAGTTTCTGTAAATTTCTGTCCCTGAATCTTTCCTGCTACCTTATAATTTTATTTTCCAGGTCTACATGTAATCATCTCTTTTGAAAATAATGATATTATGCATGGGTAGCATTTCAAAGATAAATATTACAATTTCGTTGAATAGCATGCTTTTATCATAGCCTATGTTGTTTCTTCTTCAACACATTATATACAGTACCTTATCAACTCCCGCACTCAGTATATAGTTTCCTTTCCTATTCCACTTCAGTGCAAAAATCGGACCTTTATGCTGACCTAATGTGCTTGCAAGGTTGCCTGTAAAAAATGTAAAAAAAATTATAAGTAATGCACAGTAGTATAAAATGCTTTAATGCTATTTTTGAATCTGAGCAGGAATCATAACACAATGGATTTTAAAAACATTTACTCATACTTACCTAAAAGCTCACGATGCTTATCCCGATACCAGAACTACCAGTATCAGGAAGCCAGAAGGCGAGTCATTATATGTCATCCAGCTTCCTGATTGGCCGGGAAGCTGTCTCCATGCTACCTCAAAACTTGTGTAATGACTCGCCGCCCAGCTTCCTGATCAGGAAGCCTGGCAGCAAGTCATTACTCGCCCCCAGCTTCCTGATTGGCCAGAAAGCTGGTGATAAGGGAGCCTGGAGCCGGCTTACCAGCTAATCAGGAAGCCGGGGGCAGGCAATGACTCGCTGTACGGCTTCCCGGCTAATCAGGAAGCTGGGTGGCGAGTCATTACACATTGCCCGGCTTCCTTAATGGGACTTCCAGTATCGTTATTCAGTGTCAGCGATTACTAAAAAAAATGTTGGTACTCATACTCGATACCGAAAAACCGGTATCGGTGCATCCCTAAATATTTTTTTTTTAACCATAGTTTTTTATTCAAGGTTTTTCACAATATAGGTAATGGAAACAGTAGTCGTAAGACCCATATCAAGGAATGTACCAAGAGTGGGCATAGAAAGAAGAAAACATGGCCAAAGGCCCGTTAATTGCATATGTGCTTCATAAGAATGACATACATCAGTGGTTCTCAACTCGTGGGTCGCGACCCAAAAGTGGGTCGCGACACCCTCTGCAGTGGGTCGCGGCGTCATGTCTGCATAGACCGGCCCATCTGCATTAGAGAGAACTAGAGGGGGAATTTGTGGTTCAGCCTGTGGAACATCATGTCAAACTGTCCCCTCTCTCCCGGCCTCCCCCGGGCTCTCCGATAAAGTGGTATGGCCCGGGGAGAGAGGGGACTATTTCCTCACTTTCGGCCGGCGCATTAATATCAGGTGCCGCGGCTCCCGACAATTAAGTTATAGTTTTTAAATATTTAACTTTTATTCTTTATAATTTTTTAATTTTTTTTAATTCATTTACTTTCAGTTGTTTACAAAATCATTTTTGGGTCACGCCTTAATGACCAAGGAAACATGTGGGTCCTGAGGTTACACAGGTTGAGAACCACTGACATACATAACCAATGGGCTTTTAAGGTTTCAATCAATACAGCATAAAACAATTAGGGCACATATCGTAATATTGAGGTAAAATGAAGCACTACGTGCAGTTGGCGAGCAGGACTGCGATAGCACATGTGTCAGTAGGGGGTCACATAACCTTGGGGAATAAGGGGGAGGGTATAACATTTCTAAGGCATCCCTAAATATTTTAAATGCAAATGTGAGTTTCAGCAATACTGTACACTGATTTCTTATTTATTTTATCAACGTAAAATAAATGGTTAGGAGTACAATGTCATGTGCTATCACTTGCATCAATCTTGTATGCTTATGGGATCAGCACTTATGGTAAACACATGGTAAGCATGCTCCATCTTGCTAGTCTAAAAGACAGACACTCTTCCGGGAAGCCCTATTACATATTTTCTGATATTGTGATTCATGTCACATGATATCTGATTCATGCATTATCTATTTAAATGTTTCCGCTTTAGTAATGCATTAAGGTGGACCTTGCAAGATCTGTTTATTTTAAAACCCTCCACGCCACTAATTAAAATCTAAAAAAACAACAGAAGAAAAGCCAAAGACACCTTACTTGGACACTGGCTTCTGGCTGCTTCTTGAAGACACTGGAATATTTACTATGCCTCACTGCTGTCTCCTGGAAGAGCTACTACTACAGGAGCCCATGGCGATGTTAAATGACGTCACTGGTGCTTAGCTGAGGGTAGTGGAAGCAACCATGGTCTAAGGTGAGAATGGTTAACTTTTTCTACTAAAATTTTTGTTTTTGGCTAAACAACTTTTTTCATGTTACGTAGGAGACTGCTACATAGTGGGAACCAACATTTTTGGGGTTTGCAGGGTTTGCTTTAAATTTCTCCATTACCCTTAGTCAGCTCTGCAGCTATAAAGGTGCTGCAGCTCCAGCCTCAGAAAACACCTGAGATCAGTGACAAAACTGTAGCATGCTGAAAATGCCTAACTTGCTTAGAACACTTCAGTAAACTCAAAGCTAATTTTTCAGTGATGAGTAACATCTCACTGCATCATCCGGACGACCCCTGCTGTTTTCTCATCTGTATTGCAGTAAACGTGAGTGAATAATAGAGGGTATGTTCAACACCTATCACTCATTCATTTATAATCTGTACGTTAGATATTTTTCACACATTGCATATTATTAGAGTCTTGTTTTCTATTGTTCTCACCAATGTTTCCAATAACAAGCACAGCCGGAATCTTTAGAAATAACAGAACTTGTTGAAATGAGTCAGTGGGCTGTTAACACATTGTCATAAAAAACACATTTTAATATGTGCACAAGGTACAATATATATTTATAGTTCAAGTAGAAATTGTTTAATAAAAATATACATGATTTTAAGTACTCCAACTTAATAGTTAGGGTTTCTCAATAATAAATGATATACCTCTTTTAGTAGGGAAAGTTTAGCAAAAACTACTAGGTGTATGTTAGGTACCCCTGCTAGTGACTATATTTATTTGCTATTATTCTAAAATACAAACTCAATTCTCCAAAAATTGGGACGCTGTGTAAAATCTACATAAAAAAAACAGATTGCAATAATTTGAAAATCTCTTAAACCCATATTTTATTCACAATGGAAAATAGAAAACATATCAAATGTTTAAACTAAGAAAATGTACCATTTTAAGAAAAAAAAATACAGTCATTTTGAAATTGATGGCAGAAACACATCTCAAAATATTTGGGACAGGGCAACAAAAAGCTGACAAAGTAAGCATTACTAACAAGGAAGAGCTGGAAGAACATTTTGCAACAAATTAGGTTAATTGGCAACAAGTCAGTAATATGACTGGGTATAAAAAGAGCATCTTAAAGAGTCAGAGGGTCTCAGAAGTAAAGATGGGCAGAGGTTCACCAATCTGTGAAAAGCTGCTTCTAAAAATTGTCAAACAATTTCAAAATAATGTTCCTCACGGTAAAATTGCAAAGCATGTAAATATATAATCATCTACAGTACATAGTATCATCAAAAGAATCTGGAAAATCCCTGTGCACAAGGGACAAGGCTGAAATGCAATACTGGATGCTTGTGATCTTTAGGCCCTCAGACTGCACTGCGTTAAAAACAGGCATGATTCTGTGATGGACATCACTGCATGGGCTTAGGAATACTTCCAAAAACCACTGTCTGTGAACACAGTTTTCCGTGCCATCCGAAAATGGAAAGCTCTGTTATGCAAAGATGAAGCCATATCTGAACATAATCCAGAAACACCGCCATCTTCTCTCGGCCAAAGCTCATTTCTGGTCTGTTGCAAAGTGGAAAACTGTTCTGTGGTCAGTGAAATCAAAATTTGACATTCTTTTTGGCAACCATGGGCGCCGTGTCCTCAGGACTAAAGAGGAGAGGGACCTTCTGGCTTGTTATCAGTGCTCGGTTCAAAATCCTGCATCTCTAAAGGTATGGGGGGTGCATTAGTGCGTATGGAATGGGCAGCTTGCACATCTGGAAAGGCACCATCAATGCTGAAAGATGTATCCAGGTTTTGGAGCAACATATGCTCTGATCCCGGCAGTGTCTTTTTCAGGGAAGACCTTTTATATTTAAGCAGGGCAATGGTAAACCCCACAGTGCTGCTATGACAACAGCATGGTTTCATTGTAGAAGAGTCCTGGTGCCTAACAGGCCTGCCTGCAGTCCAGACCTTTCACCAATTGAAAGTATTTGGTGCATCTTGAAATGAAAAATACAACAAAGAAGACCCAGGACTGTTAAGCATTTAGAATCCTATATCAGGCAAGAATAGGATAATATTCCTCTCCCAAAACTCCAGCAACTGCTCAGTTCCCAGACATTTACAGAGTCTTCTTAAAAGAAGAGGAGATTTTACACTGTGATAAACATGGCCCTGTCCCAACTTTTTTTGAGATGTGTTGCTGCCATCAATTTCAAAATTAATGTTTTTTTTCTTAAAATGTTACATTTTCTCAGTCTAAACTTTTGATATGTTTCCGGTTTTTATTGTGAATAAAATATGAGTTTATGAAGTTTGCAAATGATTGAATCCTGTTTTTAATGTAGATTTTATGCAGCATCCCAACTTCTTTGGAATTGAGGTTGTATGTACAGATATCTTCTAAATAATCCCATTTGTAATGAATTCATAATTAAATATGTTTGTGTTTTTATTTGATAATACATGAAAATATAATTAGCAGGGAAAATTAAAAGGCACATTTAGCCCTTGGTCATGAAAAGTGCAACCTCTGGGTTCTTGTACCACTGGTTGAGTACCTCTGCTTTGGATAAGATAGGGAAGGGTTAGAACTTAGTGTCAGTTTTTCCTGCTATGGTGGCTTGAAATTCCAGTCACTTTCCTGATGACCAGACAGGAATAGGGAGGAATTTCTCCAACAAGCTTACAGACAGCAGCAAAAAAAGAAAAGACAGTTATATCCCTTCCCTCCTCCCCTTTTTTACATTGGAGAGATTTTACTTACTTCCTGTTCTGGTGATCACAAAGAAACAGAAGTTCTATTCTTTATTTGCTCTATCCTTTGAACCAAAAAATCTATAAAAAGTTGGCTGGCTGATGTCAGAGATTGTGTGTAACCTGGTCCTTGTTTCCTGGTACAAATGGCCTTCCAGGCACCACCAGAGATCCTCAATACGTTTGATCACTATTGTAGGGAGACAACTCACAACAAATGACAACACACTTTCTGCCTGTTCTTTTACAGAACTCATGTTGTGCTGGGGTACATTGGGAATAAATGTAAAGGTATAATAGTAGGTGGGCATGTTATGTTTAAAGATAGTGCCCGCCAATGAATGGAGGAGCTGATTGGCAGCTTTTCCAACCCTTGATCAGCTGATTGAGGAATGTTGGGCAGAGGGGTGCTGACAGCAGCACCCATTGTACGAATTTAGGTGGGTTCATCAGGAACCAGATGAAATTCGTCCCATGTATACCTTATTTAGTTTGGATACATGCACTTAGCATACATTCACTGCATTTAGCACTAAGCTATTTCATAAAGCTGAAAAATATCTGCTCCGTTTACTAGAGTAGCTATGAGGTTGTGGATACACAACTTTTACTTCTCTGCAAATATTTCTCCATACTATTGTATTAGTTGTGACATCAGCCAAATCAACAGGAAACTGTCAATGACAGCAGCATAAAAAATGCACACAATTCAAATACTTAATATGGAATAATCAATTTACCATCCTGCGTCCAAATTCTTGCAAAGCCATCATATGACCCTGTAGCCAAGAGTGTGCCGTCAGCCTGAGGGAAAGCAAATATTTAAAATAAATATGTTACATTCAACCTTGTATGCTTGAGACTGAACACTTAATTCAATGTGTCCCTTCTTTCTGCAGAAGTAATACAAAGCCAAATCATCAAGGAGAATGTTTGCAAAGTGTAACAGTCCACATTTCTGCGAAGGAAAGGCATTAAAAGAATGTCACCATCTATTAAACCATCTGCCATCAGCTCTAGGTGAAAGCTGTTTTCTTTTGTCTGTAGCTAAGTTTAAAAAAATGACAAGCTGTTGAAAAAAATAAAATACAATTCTTGACATTTTTGGCAGTTATTGCAAAAAGTGTTTAACTCTTATGGAGAGTGACCAATTCCTCCAAAAGACCAATTAAAAAAGAATCACCGTCATAAAGGAAACAACAATGTATTTTACTGAGTCCACATGCTGCGTTATTATTTTAATTAAAAAAGGTAATTTGTTTATTCATGCTGGACACAAATGCATTGGGACGTTGTATATTTGTATTCCTGTGCTGTCGTTTACAAAAAAAGTAATTTGTGATGTAATTTTTACATGTTTTCTGCTCCATATTTTATGACAGTATTACAAACTTATAAATAATCCATCTAGTAGTTTTTTGTATATTAACAAATAATAATAACAGACTTTAAAAATTGCTACATCAATCTATTCAATGGTCTTCTCGAGTTTACTAGGAGCCACTGAGTCAAAGGATGATCTAATATTTATATTTCAACACCTTCCTGCATTGTTGCAGGACCACTCCCTCCCACCTCCTACACCCTCGTACTGGTCCATCATGAGGGATAAGCTTATTGGTCAGTAGGAAGATGCACAAGGTGGTAGGGGCAGGCCAGCTCAAGACACTGAAAGGAAGTGTTAGAGTAGCTTGGTATTGGGTGTAACTGGGGTGCTCCAGAACATGTTATAAGATATGGGTAATTTATTGCTATAGACATAGCGTTTCCAGAATTGACAGGGGTATCGTAACATCTTCATTAGCTTTACAGTCTACTACTTTACTCAGAGCCCTGATTCATAGAAAATAATATTGAAGCTCAGTCATTGTAGTAGTGCCAAGCAGAAAGCAGAGCCATATGAAATGCATATATGGTGGCTGTTTTACCTGCTGAAAGATTTGTATTTCTGTCTATAAAATTCTAAAAATATATATAGCTCTGCCACACAGTACAACATAACTGTCTGACAGGGCAGGATACCTACATTTTGTCTTTTGCAACCTGTGACTGGACAGGTAAACACACTAAAGAGCTTATCTTTTGGTCACTCTGCTATTTCCTGATGTCAGCATGTGGATAAACAAGAATGTGCCTTGGATGCGCCTGATGGACTTAATTGCTGTGTAATATACTGTATACTCAAGGGTGTGCAGCCTATTGAATTGTGAATAGTGTCTCACTAGCATGTGTTTACCAAAGCAGTGTGAAAGTTAAGGCAATAGTATTGTGCCAAATGTATAACTATAGAAACAGTGGGCCAAGTGACTGCTATGGGGTCAGTGATAGGTCTGTACGGAAGCAGAGTTAGTCTTGGTACATACAGATATGAAGAGGCCTGAGCTGCAACCTTTGTCTTCCACCACAAAAGAGATATCAGGGCCTCTGTAGCACACGGACTGAAGATATGAACTGACAAGTCTGGGCCACTAAAAACATACTTAGCATAGTTTTAGGCAATATCATATGTCAACACATAGTGTAAAAGTGAAGTTGCCATAAAAACAAATAGTATTTTTGTAGAATAATGTTGATACAGGAATCAGAGGTGGAACTCCGCATTAAAAAATGCATTTTGCAACACCAGTTGTTCTATTCAATTTTTGGTTCCAGTACCAGTAAGTTGGTACCTTAAATGGACAAGCAAATTATAGCTTGTGAAGCAAAGACATTACTATTGTAGATTGTTTTGTATTCATGGTGCAAAATGTGTGCTGCTACAACAGCCTGTTTATAATTAGTAAATCATAGGGGTCTATTCACGAAGCTGCAGAGGGCAGCCGAATGAATGACCGATCTGAAGTGAAGTGAGCCGAACACTGTTCGGCTATTCACTTCAGGCTGGTACGGCTAATTTCAGCCGTACATCGGCTGAAATCAGCCGTACATCGGCTTGCTTTGTGTGGCTTCGGGGCGGCCGAACATGCTCAGGATATTCGGCCGACCCGAAGTGCAGAAGGAGTTCGACTCAGCCAATCCAACATCTGGGTCGGCTGAGCCGAACCTCAGGCAGGCTACTCGCTGCTGTTCAGGCTATTCTTAAAGATCTCGAACAACAGTGAGTGAATAGCTGAATGCCGCTGAGCGGCATTCGGCAGGTATGTCTTTTGCATAAAGCAACATTTAAACAGAACAAAATGTCTGTTACATTTGCTTTTTCTTTTTGGTAAGCCCTCATAACCTAATTTATTCCTGGGTCCCATATACATAACCAGTTTTTGCTTTATAAATGATGACAAAGCATATAAAGTGTAACAAAGCTGTAAAAATAAACTATTTTAAAATGTTTCTTTCAGTTTAGCATAATACACAATGTAACCAATATTTCAGCTTAGAAGACATCTCTGTAAGTGGCATCAAGATATTGTTTACACAGTTACGGCTCACTCCTTAGACATCCATTAGTAAACAATGAATACATTATTCATATAAAGCATTATGATGTAATCCACAATGCTTGCAATAAACAAATGATATATTTTGCTTTGAAAGACCAATCAACCATTTTAAACAGGCTAAAGTAAACATTCTGCTTATGAAAATCAATATGTCTAAGAAAATGTTGAGTCCATAATACAATAGAATTGTTGTAAGTTCAAGGAGGATATTAATGTTCTGGAAAGTGCTAATTAGAAAAGTTAAATTATTACACAATGTAATGTGATTCTGTTTAGTTTTTAATGAATGCTAACTGTAAGTAACTTACGTTCCAGTCCAATGAGGTCACATCTTTGTTGCTTGGAACGTCTTGCCCACCTTCTCGTATACAGTGTCTTAAAACTAACTGAGTGGAATTGCTACTGCTATTTTCATTCAAGTTCCATATTCTTGCCGTTGAATCTCCTGACCTTAAAATAAAAAAAAAAACACAAACAAATGCATATAAAAGTAATTCTGAAACAGAACCTTTTCCCCTTTTAAACAGTAACAGGTTATTTGTACTAAATAGTAAATAGCTATATTTGTGTTACATATCCTTCCAGTTCTAGTCTTGCATTTTCTCTACTAACTATTACTGGCTAGTCAAGTTTAATGTCTGTCTACACATGAGTGACACATTAACATGAATTGTGATGTGTGTTGCCATGCACTGATTTTTTTCAAGGTATGCTTTAAAGTCTCAGTTTATCTTTCTGACCATGTTGCATGTGACAACTATATTTAGGGCGTAACATGGACAGATAGGCTTTTAAGTTTCATTTTATTTAATTTACTTTCTTTACATTTTTACGCTTTTTTAAAATTTAACTTTATTGCTTTCACAAGGGGACATTGGCAGGTGACAGGTATTCTTTATTCTCCTGCCCTTCACTGCATTGCCAGCCAGGCTTCTGACATCTGTAAGGATTCCTTCACACGTGTGTGAATGAAAGAGCAACTCTGGTTAACATGGCTGTAGTGTTAACAAGGCATTTTCAAAGCATTAACCCCTTCATGACTGAGGCCCTTTTTTCATTTTTTGCACCCATGTTATATTCCACATTTTAGGCCTGAAAATGACGTAAAACCCCCCAACATTATATATTTTCAGAATGCCAAGACCCTATAGAATAAAATGGTGGTAGTTGAAAATTTTTATGTTGCGCAATATTAGCGCAACTCCTTATTAAACCCCAAAATTTAGTGACATATTTAATTAAATGCCCCAAAACACAACCAATCATACATTTTTTTAATGAAATATAAAATATGAGGTTACAACGAGTAAAACGATACCCAATCAAAAACGCTTGCAAAATGCCTGGCAAGTAGGGGAGTGTTAAAGGGGAAGTGATCTAATAACGGGAAGTGACCAACTTTGAGGTGTGCTTAGGCTGTGGTGAAATTTGCAGGCATATTGTTGATTTTCTGTGTTGTGTATTGCTGCATAAATTGCTGCAACAATTATTTCAGACCTGACTGGTTCTGGCTGGTACTTGCAATGCCTGGCAATTGTATGGCTGGTACTGCTAAGCTGCCACTGGTATGGCTGGCACTGCTTTAGATGACACTGATAACAGCTGGCACTACATGGTGGCATAGGTCAGGCTGTCACAGTTTGCAAGTATCTGGCTAGAAGCTGTCCTCTTGCTGGCAAAACACTGGCTGTGTGCAGACAGGAAGTGGCACCCGCAACTGCTCTATCCACTCACTATATGAATTCCCAGTGGTTTCTGGGATTGCAAAACCTCTTATGCCTCTCCTTAAACACCTGTGCAACGCTTCTTAAATGCCCCAAAAATGCTATAGGAGCGTTGAATGAGCGTTTAAGGGGTATTTCCATATACTTCAATGGAGGCATTTGTCCAGGGCCAATGCCTCAAGAATACGACATGCACTCTATTGTTTAACACAAAGCAACACAACACCACGCTAACACCCAGGAATGAAACTGCACTGGGTGGTTGCTATTGCATTATCCCTCATGAGCCTTAAAAGGCAGCAGATAAGCTTTAAAAATGATTCTCTAATGCCTGATTTTAACACACACATGAAAGAAAACTAAAGCAGAAAGCACTGACAGTACATTGCTTCCTGTTTCAGTATTCAAGAAGCAGATGGATGTACCCTGATCTGATCTTACTCACTATCATGACACCATTTACTGTGGTTCTTGGAAGAGCTGGGCTGGGGGGAGGGTGTATGCCGCAGCCATGATCCTTTTATAACCACTTAAGGTCCAGGATGTACAGGTATGCCCTTTAGTCCTTAAATGGCTAAAGGGGCCTGAGAAGTTCATTTTAAGGAAGAACTGTATAGCAAATGAACAGATATTGACAAATTTGAATTTCCTACTGCCCAACCCCACCTGAATGATGACACTCTTGTACATGCTATGTCCGTATGTCATGTGAACATTTTTTGTAAAATATTATGCTGAATTGCACTATTACAAACATGAAGCCTTTTTCATATTCACAGTTTTCAGCTTTAAAGACCACCAAACATGGAAGAATGGAGAGATATTTTCACTTTTCTAAATTTTAAAGTCTTCTGACTCATGTCAGTATCCCCTCTTGCCCCTTTTATCTACAAATTTTTTGCTGAATTTACCTACAAATATCCAACTGTGGATAGGAGAGGGAAATAACATAAGGAAAAGCTGATAATATTTTTGTAAACTTCAAGGCTTGGAGCTTCACCCTCCCATCTGCTGCCCTAGGCACTGGCCCATAAGTATCATTATGGTAAATATAGCCTGTCTTCAAAATTACCTAAATAACAACATGCTTACCTTAAGACCTTTTAGATGAAAAGCTTGCTGAACAGAGAACAGGAAAATAAAACATTTACTTCCTATCCCCTCACACAACCCTCTACTTATTTACTTGACCAAGAGCACTCCACTAACTAATATTGCTCCTCTACCTATTTACTTCACCAAGAGCACTCCTCGAACTAATATTGCTGCAATTTTACATAACCGTACTGACTTACCCAGATGCTAAGAGATCACTAACTGGATTCCAGGCACAAATGAACACTTCGGATTCATGTCCACGTAGCACCGTTGCTTTATTAGGTGGAATTTCCACATCACCATCAATTTCCATTGGTTCTGCATGATTATCTGCAAAACATATAAGAATCTAGTTATGTGTCCAATATCTTACAATGGTTATTTAATGATACTGTCAACTGCTGCTAAGGAAGAGTAATTTGAAATTCTGTCCTGTATCTCTTTTTAATACAATGGAAGCACTAAAGGTAAATTGAATTGTTAAAATTTCAATGAACTGGAATAAGCCCTTTATATTTAACATGCTTTATGGAAGCTTCAAGTGGGATGACATTTGACAACGTAATTACATTCATAAAAAAACTCTACAAAGACAAAAACACTTAAGATTATATTGATTAATCAGAAATATGCTGCAGCTAATGTGGACTGTGGAATAATTGCACTATTGAAATTTCTTTACTCTAAATAAGGGTATCTCACGTGCAGTGCTCGTTACACAAAAACCGCAATGTGGAAAACCAGAGCATTTCTAAGCTCGATTAAAAATAAACAATTGTATTAGGCTGGCTGCACATCAATATGTTGCACAATGTGCAGAAACACTTTACTCAGTGCATTTGGGTTACAGTCATTTATAATGGCACCCAATGCATAAGTACAGTAGGGGATGATGGACACGCACTCCAGTGCACAAGCCTTGTGGTGTGGCACCCTGCTTTAAAAAAAAGCTTTGCGGGTCTAGTTTTCCTTCTATAGCCATGTGTTGACAGTCTTTTCTAAATCAACATGCTACCTTATTGCCACACACATTAATGTGTGCCACTGTAGCGGAATGTATAGGTGTAATGGGGGTCTTTACTTCTAAACTGTGCAACTGTGCGTTATAAAAATAATATGCAACTTAGAAAAAAATGCACATACTGTAGTACACAACTGCACAAGTGCACAATGTGCAGTTATACTGTATGTTTATAAATTACTCTCAGTGCTTCTTTTGCACATTTAGCCACTTCCCGTGGCATAACACACATATGTGCCAGCACAGTAGGTGGGCTTTATTGCCAGCTGTATCCATATATGCATCCAGCCAGCTCGTTGTTCGGAACATAGAGCATGCTCACTCGAGTGCTCCCAGAACGGTGCAACCAAATGCATCTGTGTTCCTAGCTGTAGGTGTGTATATTGTAGCAGCATCTAAGGACTGGGGTAAGAAATAAAACATTAACTAAGCACACAAGTAAACCATTTTACATTTATCAAAACATAAAATACTATCAGCCTTATTATATGTACAGCTATTTTAATTAGCATTCACAAAGGGTAAGAAGCTTTCCTAAAAGACTATTAACAATGTGCAAGTGCACAGGAGCTCTCTGGGTTTTCCTGTCACTTTGGAGTATCGCAGTTACATAATCTTCATTATTTCCAAAAATGTGGACGAATAGCTTTTTTTGTTAGAAAGAAATGCTGGAAGCCGAGCGATGAGTTTGATTTACTAAAGCAAATGAACACAAGCAGGGGTACATTGTTCTTGTACAATTTTATCTACTGCCTATGGCCTTGAAGTCTTCCTAAGTTCCATCAGGCGTGGCCCCCCCTGCTCCTTGGTTCTACCCTGAAAGGATTTTACCACAGTTATGCAGGATTTAATGGGTCGAATAGCAGTCTTGATTGCTGACTCTGACCACAGAGGCTGTAAGCAAAGACCACCTGGTCCCCTGTGGAATCAGTCTTTGATCTGCCTGCAGCCTTAGGAGCCTCTGAGTCTTCTGCCACAGAGGCTTTGTCTAGTGCTGAATCTCAGAAATCCTTAACTGATGATATTGCCCCTGCAGAGTTGCGCACTACTGCAATTACTCCCAGGCTTAGAGGTAATATTGTGGGGTTACTGATGTGTGCACCACTTACAAACTAGAAACATCAGCATGCAGCTTCTACCAGTACTGCTATCTGTCTGGGATTTCTAAAAAAATCCCAAGACCTTTCTTGTGCACCTACTAGTCCCGGATATTCTTAATGGGGACTAAGAAGTAGGTTATTCCCACTATAGATCTGACAGTATCCTATCTTGATAAAGCGCATACTTAAAGATTCTTTCCAAAACTTTGTTTTCTCGCGTTGGTCCTGCATTGCAGTTTGCCCTGACTTTGATCCTAGCCTGTCTAACTATAGAGGAATGGACTAGGGCCATGTGAAGGTATCGTGTTTCTCTCTAAACAGATCTCCTATTTGTGGAGTGTTTTGTGCTAGTCCATATGGAGGACTCATTGGGGTTGATTTACTAACCTTATAAACATGCCACGAACAAGTATACACCTCTCTAGTGTGTTCCCTCCCAGCATGATCTATTGGTGGAATCTATACACCTTTGTAGTGTGTACACACCCAGCAGGTGTGTTGTGCAAAGCCCTGCATGAATTGCAGGGTGATGTTGTGTAAATTAGCTCTACATTGTGTTGCTTGTGTTGATGAATGCAGGAATGTAAATGCATGAGCTAACGATTTTTGTCTAAACTGTGAAGCAGCATTATATATGCATCATGTGCATGATTTTTCCATATATGGCATTAGTGGAAATATGCTTTTAGAGACTTTTTGGTTGATAAATACGTTTTGCTGTGTAAAAATCACACGCACCTAGTGCGTGCGTGTGTTTAGGTTAGTAAATCACCCCCACTGGATCAAATGTGGGGCTGCAGAACAGTCATGCAAAAAGCAGTTGCTACGCAAGTCTTTTAAGGGACACCTTCTTTTTTGGAGCTGTCTTGGATACCCTTATTAAGAATGTTACTGGGGGTAGGAATACTCATGTGCCCCAGCAGAAAAACCCCAGACCTCAGACAATGAAATCTTATCTCCCCTCTGAGGCCAAGAAGAGTTATTTACTGTACTCCAAGGCATGAACCTCAAATGCCAGACCCAAACTAAATACCCAGTTCAGCTGCAAACCTTGGGTTTCCAAATCTTCAAAGCTCGTTGAACAATCCTCTTTAGCATAGAGGCATGCCCCCACAGACGACATCAGACTGCAACTCAAATGCTTGGGTACAGGAGATGGTTTCCAGGGGCTGCAAGCTAGAGTACCACCTCTGCCCCATCCTGGTTTATGTCTTCCAACCTGGCCTGCCTGTGTCACCGCACAGATTAGAAGATCTCCATACAGAGAGATCTCCATACTCCAAACCAGAGTACCCAGAGGAAACCCGCACAAGCACAGGGAGAACATGCAAACTTGTTGTAGATAGTGTCCTGATCGGGATTCAAACCAGGGACCCACAGATGAAGATTTTTACAGATCATCAAGACCTTCTGACAGTTTATCATCCTGCTTCACTGTCACTGGCTTCAACAGCATAGCCGTTGACGCCCTAGTCTTAAGGGACAGGGATATCTCAGAATCTGTGACCCCAGAATGTAAAAAGTCAGAAAGTCTATTTCAAACAAGGTCTACTATTGCACAAGGAAGGCATACTTCATTTGATGCCTTTATACCAGGAATTACTCTGTAGGGTGGAAACTTGCCTTTTTGCAAGTACCATCAAGGGCCAAATCTCATCACTTGTGATCTTGTTGTAGAGACTGCGAGCCTCCCATTCTTTGATTAAGACCTTTGTTCAGAGTGGCTGTCATGTAGCTCCCCCTGAACATTCACACATGACTCTGGGGGATCCAAATTAGGTTCATTATGCATTTCTGAACCTGCTTTTTGAACCTATCTTATTTTCCCTTTTCCACCCTTGCTTACAAGTTTGCTTTTTTCATCACCATCATTTCTGTGAGGCGTGCATCTGAGCTGGTGGCTTTGTCTTGTTTAAGGGGTTATAAAGCCTCCGTTTTAAAAAAAAACCGCTTTAACAGCGTTTTAAACTTACCTCGTTATCGCTACGCGCTCCCGCGCCAAGAATCTGGAACTGCTCTTGCGACCGCAAAGGATCTTGGGGTGGGCGCATGCGCAGTTCGGATTCTCGGCCGGGAGACGAGCAGAGACGCAAGGTAAGTCTATGGACGCATGCACCCGCATGCAGACACCGCTGGATCGGAAGTGCCTGCAAGCAGAGAGGAGTCAGCGCTGGATCAGAGAGCCACCGCACCGCTGGAGGGACAGATGAAAACATCAGGAAAGAAGAAGAAGATCGGATTAAACGACATCATTTAAGATAAGTGCTAACATTAACATGGGCTGGGGGGGATTTTTTTTGAATTTAATGTCACTTTAATAACCATTTTTGGTCTTACATGCTACTTTTTCTTAATATACACTATCATTAACTGTTTTTGGTGGGTTTAGAACCAGATGGACTATTTAAAATTTGCAATAAAAAATGAGAGGGGTATAAGATAAAAGCTTGTGATCTTAATTTTCTTGTTGCTACTGAATAAAGAACACAGAGAATGAATAGTGTGTTATAATTATTATACCAAATAATATCTAAGTGTATATTTGGCCCCTTTACTCATACCATCCTTGCTATTGAAGAAACTAGTATTCCCTGGCATCTTAATGGAAATGGCACGTGACAGTTTACTCACTTATTGCATGTGCCCCATTCTCTTCGCCGTTCACTGTGGCTGCTCCGTTCTTTGGTGTGGTCTGCTGGGTTACAGGTGCTGCTGGGGCAGTGGTGACCGGTGCCGCACTTGGTGCAGATATTGCTGCAGCAGCTTGTTGCTGGGCCAACTTCTCTCTGAAGGCTTGTTGTCTAGTCTGTACAACATCTGGCATTACGGCGTCAATTAGAGATAATGATTCTATAGGCCGACCATCAAACACTGTGCCATCCTAAGAAAAAAACAATAGGTATGATTATTCTTAGTACTGATTGCATTATATATTGTTAACTACAGTAGGGAAATCAAGTAAAAGCATAGATACATTTTGATAAAAGGAATATAGTTGTAGATATTCATTTAAAAAACTTAAAACAAAAAAGAATATAGTTTTATATTAAAACATAGTATTAAATACAATTTCTGTAGTTGGCATTAAGAGATCCAGTAATCGAAGTAATCCAGTAATCGAAAAGTAATATTTTAGATAGGTAAAGTTTGGTGGACTTGTGTAATAAACTTGTTTAACCGATTGGCTTCTTCTATCTCTTGCAGACTCCAGTGAAGAAATCCCTTCACCAAAGTAGCTTGCTTGGGGTTTCCATCCAGATTGGCATTTTAATCTCTTTCTGTTATGTATGTAACAGGAAGCGTGGTAAATGCAGAAAATACAACAGACAGAGTGTGACCCCCTCATAGTTCCATGTACAAGAGTGGTAAACGAGTGCTGATTTATGCACTCAAACACCACTGGAGTCCCTAAGAGACTTTAGAATCTAGGTAATTTTTGTAGCTAGCATCATACTAAAAATTAATTATCAGTTATAGTGGATTGTCTGACCCTTCATTCCCTCATTTTGGCTAACAAAGAAATACACTACCCAGCAGGCAAGTGAAAATATCTTCTTTACAGACGTGGCCCTCTTAGAGATAGTTCTAAATATTAAAGAACTGATGTATTTTATAAAGGAAGCAATTCCATGCATGTTGCTTTCCAAATTGTGCGCTGTTCATAATTTGTACGCAAATTAATTTTTGCTTATAAATATGCGTACATCAGCAATACCACATGCTGATGTCCTGTTTGTTTTAGCCATGTACGCACAAATTATTGCTAGTCAGAGGTATGTTCTCTGCTATTTATGGTGCTAAGGGCAATTGGAAAATTCTAGGTGTAATGCCAGCATGCGGAAAACGTTTCTGTCCCTAGTTATTTGAGCTTTACGTCTGATAATAATACTTGAAATACTAATAGTACTTGATACCTTTAGCATTTGGTATATGATACTGAAGCTTGATGCATCAGACCTAATATATCTTTATGATTTTCAGTACAATGTAGAGTAACCCATAGCAACCTATAAGACATAGTAGATCACTAGCTCATTCTATATGGCTATATACACAATATTTATAAAACAATTTCTACTAACGTGCCAGGAATTTCAGACATGGCTATTGTAAAATTTAGAAGCCCAGATTAAGACTATCAAAGAGTGGAGAATAGTGAGGCAAATTAAGATATTGGACATGTGCTAAGCAGGTACTCACTGAATGTCTGGGGCTGATACAATCTCTGCAACTGATCTAAATCCATTTGGATATTTCTTTGGTGGAAATGTTGCAGTCCAATGATGACCACATCTTTCAGTGTGTGTGGTCATCACATAAGCACTTTAGTTTTCCCTTGTGTAATACAACGGCTAAGCTTTCTCAACAAATGTCTAGAACTTTTAGATCTGACCATATGTGTGTATGTCCATATTTTCACGTGTCCAAATCGTAGTTTGGATGACCTATAGTAAGGGTATATGGAGACCTTACTGTATATGATGGCTAAAGTTCTCTTATCTAAATGGCACACGGTAAAAGAGAATATGTTCATTGTTCAGTGTTTATTGCCCAGCTCACTGTGGGTACCTATGCTGCTACTATCTGGATTTTCTTTTTCTTTTTGATTGCAAGTTTTTGCTGTTGGGAGGTGTCATGCTGAAATTAAATTACATAATTAAGCCTTTCTGCGACTTTTGTACATTAATGTAATTTCCCACCTATTCTCTTAACTTTGGAAAGTAATTATAAAACCGCTATTAGAAAAAATAAATAAAAAACAGCAGATAATTGTGGACAAAAGGAGGCTGATAAGAAAATTACAGTGCTGCTGTTGATAAGAAAACAGTATTCTTTCACAAACATACTTTTTTTCCCTTCAAATGTGATTATATCTTTTTTCCGTGAATCCAATTACATTTCTAATTTAGCAAAAACAAAACAAAAAAATGTGATTTCAAAGACCCTGCCTTTTAACCTATTCACTACAGAATTATGCAACCACCACAAAACAAATGATTCTATTGTCTTGCTAAAAAGCTGATTTCAATGGAAAACAAAAATGTATTCAACATAAATTATAAGTTCTTAAGAGAGGGAATTGATTACTGAGTCTAAGGGTTGTCGAAGCATAACAGAAAATTTTGATCAGTACATGACAGAATCATGTCATTTATTTTAAGTAGTTCAATTTTGACTAGACAATCTAACATTTGATTAAAGCTGGCCTGCTTGAATTTCAGCCTATTCCTGCTGAATCAGCCAAAATTCAACTTGTGAATGGCTCTGTCGGTACCCCCTTATAACCACTTTCCATCTGGCCGTTGTAATTAAAAGCACGTACATGCCACCCAGTGCCACAATGTGCGGTCCCCTCCTTCTGCCGTCTCTTATCCCGGGCTCCACTGTGCTCCGTGCGGGCATTTCGTGAATGGAGATCGGAGGGAGATCAGCAGACGATCTCCCACTGATCTCCTCTCCGGTCTCTGAATGCGGAAGTGATGTGTATTACATCACTTCCATATTCAGCTGTCCTTTTGCCAGCTTCTGTAGGCGAAGAGAAGCTGGTGAAGCAGATCTCTGTTCCATCCGCTTCTTTGCGGGTCGCTAAGTGACATTAGGGGTCTAAAAGACCCCTGATGTCTCCTTATAGAGAACCGGTCACATCCTCTAATAATAAATGTTTCATAACGTAAGGGAAAACAGTTTCTTTTTCTAAATTTTTTCTTTATATAGTAAAAAATGAACACCCCAGTCGTGATTAAATATCAACAAAAGAAAGCTCTATCTGTCTCCAAAAAATGGTATAACATTCATTTCAGTACAGGATTGAATGACTAAATAAATGCCAGTCAAAGTACTGCAGCGCTGAATACTGAAAAATGGCCTGGACAGGAAGGGATTTAACACCCTGGTCTTCAAGTGGTTAAAAATGCCAGTCCAAAAATTAATTCCCAGCCAAACAGTGCCTGCAGCCAATCAGATGCACGCACTTTTCAGGTATTCACCAGCCACTGGAAACGCAGCTGTTAAATACAGTGGAAGAATGTTTTTTCCCCCTGTTGGGGCAAATAGGACAATGCTTAATAGTGGGTTGTTTGCCTTCCTCTGGATCACCTGTGGTACAGGGTTCTGTCTATGGAGGTGTTCTATTCATTTATTTATTTATCTCTTTTTTTCTCTGCCTTCATAACTTTTTTTCAACCCGGTTAACACTATAACTATATTTACATAGTTACATAGTTACATAGTTACATAGTTACATAGTATTTGAGGTATGCATTCTCTCTGCATTCGTTTTTCATTCTCTCTGCATTCCATATACTGCACACTTATATGAATTCTTTTTGACATTTGAGTCACAATGTGCAGTATATATGCTCTTTCAGCTTTCTTTTATTTTATAAGGAATACAAAGAGCAGGGGCGAGCTTTGAATCACTTTCCAACTGAAGTGACATTGCTATTATATTTCAGGATGTTCAGAGCTGGCTGAGCAGGCAATCAGTTATGTGACTCATACAATATAAATGGAATCTGCAATAATACTCAGAACATAATGCAAATCTCCTGTTACAGGTCATCAGCAGAGTCATTTGTGAGAAACAATGTGTAGCTTTACATGGCTTTAGATCAAAACTATCATATACCTACTTGTGAAGTCAAATTAAAATCCTGATAAATTAACTGAATATTAAGTGGATATTAATATGTAACATAAGTAGAACCTATATTGGTTGTTGGTCAATTTAATTTACTTTTGTAAATGTTTACATTATAACTGATTGCTTTTTTTTACTCTTATATTAATTATATAAAACCTTAATTTTAGAAATAGAGATTTAATAAAGTGTTATTTTATGACAATGTATTCACAGAGCATTCTGGGAATACAGCCCAACAGGAGCTGCTTCTTTCAAAACGTCACTTTTAAACTGATACTCCATACAGAGCCCTAGGAACTAGAGACAGGGAGGGGGGTCCCTCCTTTGAGTCATTCACCTGTGTGTTCTGAATAGATTTAAGAAAAGAACTGTAGAAAACTTGCAGTCAGCAAACTCTGAAGCTCCATATGCTATGCTATAATATATATATATATATATATACACCTGCTTAAGAGAAATAACAAATATTTAAAATAATATTAAGTTGGATTTTTAGTCCCGAACTTTAAAATAAAGGAAAAAATTTGGGAATTCATAAAAACGGGAACAGACAAAATCTTGAGCAGTTCCCCATGACAAATCAGCTTTTCCCTTTCATTTTAAAAGCTTATCTGAACAAACTGAAGAGAGAAGCTGTTTGGTTGCCATAGGTAAAACTGTCTGCTCCAGTTTTCATAAATTCCCCCCAATGGGTCTCAATAGGACTTTACATTATATTATTGTTGCAGATCCTTCTTTGGGGCACAGCAAATGCAAAATACTACATTCTACCTTTAATATAACTCTAATTTACAGGTGAAACTCAAATAATTAGAATATCGTGCAAAAGTTCATTTATTTCACTAATGCAACTTAAAAGGTGAAACTAATATATGATGATACAATGCACATTTTAGACATTTATCTCTAGATTGGAGATGTGATGATCTGCTACAAAAGTTACATATTTGTTCTAGTTGTTTCAAAGACTAGCTCATAATTAGAGCTGCACCAATACCGGTTTCTCGGTATCGAGTACGAGATATTTTTTTATTGGTACTTGCCGATACCGAGTACCGATACTGGCATCCCGAGGTAGCGTGGGCCCAGCTTCCCGGCCAATCAGGAAGCCGGGCCGTGGGTCATGATGTATTGTTATTTGCAGCAATATTGTAATTAAGTTCACATTTAGGCAAAAGTAAGACTGCAGATCGGAATCACATTATTTATTCAAGGGTGGTTTTAAGTAAATAGGTGGGGCTAAGTTTTCTTCAACCAAATAATATTTTTGGGAATATATGTTCATTGATGATCATGTTTTGGGTAACACCCTCCGCAGAATACTGTCATCATCATCTAGGCACATGTTCACATAGTGCACATGCGGCATACTCTTGCATTTATATTTTTTTCAATCTCAAACTGGCATTAACATGACTGAGTGTCAAAAATGTGCATTGAACTGAGTGGCTTATTATGTTCTTTGGATGGTGCACCGTCTGAAGGTCCATCCAATGTTAGGAACGTTCACTTGACACCTTTGCACTTTTAATTCCAATTCTTCCAATGGAATTTATCATTTTAAACCACCAAAATGAACTATATCACAATGTTATATTGGTATGAGGAAAGTATAATTGATACACTTTTTCCATCTACACTGCTTTCGTGGGCTACAATAATTTTACTTGCAGTATTGGTTTGTTCTATGATTATTCCTAACACACATCCAGAAATACTGGTATTTTATTTGAGTGCTTATTGCATCCTGATGACAACATGTTGCTATTTGCTATAACTGTGCAAAGAAAATCATCTTGTCTTTAACTCCATTGAGTCTGAAAGATAATTGAACATAATGCTCTATTTACAATTTATGCTAACTTGGTAACCTTTAAGAAAGATGTTAACATTAACTGTAGTTGAAGGCTAATTTAATCACTGGAGATTATGATGCTTAGATGTGTCAACTACCAAACAGCAAGTCAGTCCTAGTAATGGAATTGGTTAAGAATGGTGTAGAAAAATGGCATTGAACTCCAAATATACTAGCTTAAAGGCTGACAGCACATATAAACATGTAATTTCTGGACAAAAATACATTTTTGTTTTAAGTTGTACAGTGGAAGATTTCCTCCCAGTAATGTATGTCTTAGCAACTGCCCACAACAATACCTAAGGCAATATTCACTTTCAGATGGTTTTCCCAGTTGTTTGTTTACACTACATCATGCAAAATCCATCAAGGTGGTATACAACTGTATATGTCTAAACGTAAGTACAGATCGATATAGCAAACTCAAACTAAATCCCACCCTCCCACCTTCTGCTACACCTTCCACTATCTTTCTAAATACAAAATGTGCTCAAAGAAATGAAAACAATTACAAGCAAATACAATGGACAAAAAATATATGTCCAATACTGAAATATTCAACAAGACTGTGTGTGTGCCCATGTGATGTTAACTGCAGTATAGCCATAACTTCATCAATGACAAAGGGGAAGAACTGAATAATGGCTGAGAATTTCCAGTTTGATGCCTTAAAATTATCTGCTGGGGCGATTTTTACCCTAATGGACAACCTGAGTTCAGAGGATATGGGTTGAATAAAGCTGGCAAATAGACTGAGGACATCTAGCAGAAAAATAAGTATGGTGGGGGAAATCTCTGGATTAAAGCTAAATATTGCAACAAAAGCTGGTTTTGGTATTTTATCTGTGTATGGGTTATTCGTTTTAATCTTATTTTTGGTTGAAATTTTGCTTTAAACTCCTAAACTAGCCAAAACAGATGCTATAGGGGACTGCTCTGGTTATGCTCTAGTTTTCTCTGCTCTAGTTTTTCATTAGTAAGCGCACACTTATGACCACTTCAAGTAATATGTGTTGTGTCTCTGCTCTACATTAGATATATATAGTACAGGAAATCCAAGCACCTATTTAACACGCTTATTTCTTGCAACTAATGTAATTGTAATGTCATACTCATGATCCTTCGTTAACATGCGTTCATTTAGTACACTTACTTCATTGATGCTGATTTCAGCTTCCACATACTGTAAACCTTTCTGCAGGATGGAGATAAGGGCGGCAGGTGGCACTAGTGTCCCATTGATGTTAGACTGGCTGATGTGACTTTCAATTCCAAATGTGAACGCAGAATGAGAGAAACCTGAAAGCAAGGAAAGCCAAGCATGACATTCATCAAAATAACACCCCTGCTTAAAAGAAAAAAAAACAACAACAACCAGCTAGAGCAGCAGATTTATAACCAGGCCAGGCACTTTTTCTGCTCCATGGTACCATACACAATAATGTATTTTATATTCTCATTAACATAAGGATTGCACTAGCTAATAAAATTCCCCAAAAATTAAATTTTTTTCCCTTTGAAACACACACAGTTTATTCATCCTGGATATTTCTATGCACAATGTCAGTTTTCCAAATGTTTATACCTGCGCAGGAAATAGGACCATAATGATCAGCAGCACTGTGATTGATTGCAACCTCCTAAAGAGATAAGACTGTGCACCCAGCTATGATTTGATGTGAAATGTTGAGTGACCAGTAGAGCAATCTGGTGACCAGTAGAGCAATCCCTTTAAGGTTCAGTTGAAATGCTTTAAAATGACAATCTACCTTAAAGTGGAAGTTAAGTCTTGTAAGAAAAAAAAATGCTAACAGGCACTTTTTTTATGACAGAAGAGACTATCTAAGTCTCTTCTGCCATAAAAGCTTCTACCTGCCTGTCAGCAATTTTGTTTTGTAAACTGTTCTGTGCATGTGCAGCTCAGTGCACAGGCTCTGCAAGGTTCTTGCCAACATAAAGAAACTCTCATGCGCATGCGTGAGAGTTACATCATCAAAGCACAGCCAGTCAAGTGGTTGAAGAATCAGAACCCAGAAGAAGTCCAGGATGATGATTGAAGGAGCACTGGAGGGGATCGATTTGGCAGACAAGTCTGCCATCATGTGCTTATATGCTGTGCATACCAGCATAATATGAATAAAAGCTCCTGAGGGTTTTTTTCCCTTCACTTCCACTTCAACTAGTGATACAAAATAAGCTTAAGGGCTTGTTCATACCATAAACAGTGCGTTCCACATCGATCAGCTGCTGGAACACACTGTATCGCATCCCAGCTTGCTTCCTGCGTTCAGGGTTGGGAGGAGGTGTGGCCTCCTCCCAACCCTGAGAATTTACTGCACAGTCACAGTTCAGCAGGAGAAAAGATTTTGGGATTCTGAAGTAATACAACTGAGGATACAACTGTCATCATAGCGGGTTAAGTAAGCTCCTAGTTGGGGAGGTTCTGGGGTAGAATAGATTAGGGCACTAGGGAGAGTGGGCTGGGTCCTATATGAATTTAAAGTGAAGTTGTACTTTATCTAGAAAATAAGTAAACATAACCCTTATGCTTCCAAATGAGGAATAACAGAAATGTTTTTAACAATGTAATGCATGTATAAGAGCTAACTAATGAAAACTTATGAAACTGATATGGTTATCCAAAGTCCTAGTGCAAAAAGAAGAAGGCATTGTATAAGCCATTATCAGCAGTCCTAATTCCAACGTAATAAGCGCAATAAATACTGTGGCTCTCTTGAAGAAGACTAATCTGCTTAAAATAACATTTTTTTCTGAGCTTTCCCTGCTATTTGGAAATAATTATATGTCTAGATTTCTTATGAAGCCATTCTGCAACCAAAAACACAGCCTTATGTTTTCATTTGCATATTTCTTGTGCAGCATATAAACTACACTGAGACAGCACTGCTGTGCTATTTCTGGAGAGAAAAATATAAATTAAGGGATGCAGTACTTTACACCGCATTGTTGCTATGATCTGCTTTTTTTTATTCTTAACAGTCATTTGTCTTAAAATGAAAGGGAAACCTAAACATTACTATTTTAGACAATAGCCATGCTAAGATTTTGTTTATCAGTTCTAATTTTGAATATTTATTGAAAAACTCCCTTTCCACTTTCTTATGCATGAAATTCAGCTATCTCATACTTTCCTGAATTTGTAGCACACTGTGGTGTTTTTGGGGAATTTGGTAGTTGGGTGTTAATATATAGACAGAATTCACCACCAGATCAAACGAAACCTAGACATGGGCAGTCATATTGTTAACAAATCTGGCAAAAAAGCAGGAAATCTGGCCATCTAATGCCAATGGAAAGCTACCACATCATGCAGGAGGACAATAGCAGCAGTAGTATTAGACTCTTAAAACACAACAGGAACGTCATACAGCTAATATTTTTCTCCCAAGGTTTTAAAAATGATCAGGAAGGAATTTTTTCCCCCCTGTTGGAGCAAATTGAACCATGCTTTATAGGGGTTTTTCTGCCTTCCTCTGGATCAACACTGGGTAATTGTGGGCATAGTGTTCTGTGTAGGCATTTTTTCCCCTCATATCTCTATAGGTTGAACTCGATGGACTTGTGTCTTTTTTCAACCTGACTAACTATGTAACTATGTAAGTGGTTGTCTTACAGCCTCTATTGACAGGAAAGGCCCACAAATGGCCCAGAAACTGGAGCATATGTAAAGCTACCTAATGCTCTACCTAATACCTAAGACTCTTTCAACTGATCACAAAAAAAACAAAAACATGCTACCTGAAAAAGAAGTTGTCCTGCTGATGTTCTTCTCTGTAAATACAACTCTGCATCCAACACTTGTAGAAGTGTCGGATGCCTGGTTGCCACCTGTGTGCTGTAGTTCCCCATGCTTAACTCTATCTCACTACAGGACACAGTATTAAAAAACTTATTTTACAGAATATTTTTTTTTTAATCCTGATGATAGGGTTGCTTTAAACACAGATTTGTACTGCTCTGTTAATATAAACCAACTTGTATTTCCTTCAATAGAAAACTTCACTAAACCCTATTTGTATATCAAAAAGAAGCATAACTTCACAAACATTTAGAAAGCCTACAACCCAAAGACTTGCATACCTGCAAAAGTCCAGAGCACAAGGAAAGGTTACATTTTTGAGTCTACATGACTATTTGTGGTTGCTCTATGTTTTATTGATTGTAAAGGGTAACAGCTTGAGACTCCTTGACAATACAATTTCTCTGCTCAGTCCTTTAGTGTTGAATCAGATTTTATTAGCATTTTTTTAAACATGTTTCATAACATTCAGTATTGAAACTCAAGAAGGATATAAAAAGTAAAAACACGACATCAAGAGACATGAGTATGTGAATTGAACATTGGCGGTCTGGCGTGGACATTCAAGGGCCGGTGTCTAGGGCGACCTATATTTGGTTACACGATATGTAAAGCTAAGGCATTTCCGGGTTATGCATAATTCAATCACACGCAGCACCTGTCCTTCCCGGCAGCTGCTTGGTAAGGCCCCGCACGCAGCACGGAGCTGTACGCGCAGGCCGATTCGTGTGTGAATGGGGCCGTAATCTGACTAGTTTAATTACGTGAATGGTATTGTCTTGGTCTAGGCACCAAAAAGGACTGATACATCCATTAACAACATATCAGTACATTTGAGCTCATTACGTGAAGTCACTGAGTTTTTGTGTGAGGCTCCTGATGCTGATAGCTAGTGTAAAACTAAAGTAACCCTGTTTAACTAGCATGGACCCCCCATTACTTAACCCTTCCCTATGTGAACACCTAACCCCTAGAACCTGACTTTAATTTTTATCCCCCCACAGCTGAGACATGAGACGCTGGCCATACACTGTTCTATTTCTTTCATTCAACCAGCAGGCTGAATGAAAAAAATAGAAAAGATTGCTCCATCAACCCTTACCGGTGTTGATAGAGGAATCCGTTGCTGTTTCTTTTGTACTCTGACAGCGGCCACCGACCACATTGATCAGCTGTTTACTGGAGGACTGGTCAAAACTTGGATGTATGGCCAGTTTTAACCTGTCCCTTAAAGTGCATATATAGCCAATCTTTTTTTAAATTTTGCGTAGAGTAGAAAAAGGTTAACAAGAGGAAATTTCGCCAAAGTGCGGATAATTCCCCAAACAGGTGTCTCCTATTCAAATTTTCCCTCACCTCCTACTCAGGTGAGACTTCTAAAATGTTGGATTTCCCCATTACTTGACCTTAGCAATGATGGTTACCAGAGGACAAATGGAGAGGGTAAATCTACCCTGCAAAAAGACAGACGGCAATAAAATACAAACATTAAACTAAAGTTTTATATATATAGCCATATGCTCCCCCCCCCCCCACTT